TGCTTAGTTTGATTTTCTTGTTTGTCGTATAATTCAGTTTAGTTGAAGGAATTATGATATAATTAAGTATAGTGCTTGAAGCCTGTAACGAAACAGATCAGTTTAGTAAGTATACTCTATAGAGTTGCCTGTTTCCAATGTGTATACGGATTCAGATCAGCCTGATTAAAAATAGGAAAAAACGTGCCTTTGATGCTGTTGCTATATAGCATGTATGATATCATACATTATAAGATAGCGATAAGTATGTTTGGTGTTTATTTCTAAACTGTACATCTATCACTGACCATATTTCATGATCACTGTCATTAAACAATTTCCCCATCAATAACATCGGTAGCAAGATAGCTAAGTGTCTGAGCTTTTAGTTGCCCGCAAAACAGCAGTATACAGTCTTAGAAGATGAGTGTTCTGTGTCTCAATTAAATGCAGCTGGCTGTGGACAAAGGTTAAGAATCTTTTTGACAACTGGGACTTTTAGTTTATCAGACACTTACTCTGCTGGTATGTTGTCCTGTTAAACTAGACGCAGATGCATGGGAATACTTAAATGGGAGCAAAATAATAAAAGCATTGCAATACGGTACTAAGCCCATGTCACGCTTTGCGCAAGTAATAGTAGCTGACCTTACCTAATATTCATGAACTCAAGTTAAATCACAACTGCATAAATTCTTTGCTAAAAAATATGTAATTTGGTTATATATATATTCCACATTTCTGACTAAATTCATCACCATTTTTTCATTTAGAATGCAACAGGAGTGAGTCTTCACAGATCATAAAAACTGTTTCGCCCTTAGAACTATGGCCCTATGGAACTGTTTACGGGAGATCCAACGAACAGCAGATGATAAAAAGGATGCTGTACTTCCATTTTAGTCTCACAACCACTTCCAGTATTTTGTGACTTCTTTTACTCTTTCGTTTGGAAAAATACAACGAAAACTGCAGCTTAACATTACCAATACAACTTTTAAACTGGAACTTGGTTTAAACCTTTGTTTGCTATTCGATTCTTAATGAAAGTTCTTGAATAAATTTCTGAATCTAATGCTACTCTGTTTTATCTACTTAATCGTTGCAAGAAACTTGTGATAAGCGAGCCTCTCAGCACCTAGTTCATGTGTTCAGATGGTTGTGGACTGAATAGAAGAAGCTTTCGCTTAACAGGCTTCCGTGGATAGTAGCAGGGGATCACCAATACCTCAAGGCAGAAAATTTGGTATGTTAACAATAAAAGAGGAAAAAGAAATTGGTAAATCATAGTATGATACTATACTTAGTCCTTAAGAATGAACCCAGTTGCCTCTTAAAGGACTCCTGAGAAGTCGCTTGGATTAGCTCGGTCGGCAGAAAATCCCAGCATTTGACAACTCTTAAGGAGGAGAAGTTGTGCCTACAGTCCGTCCTGCTATGTTGTGTCTGTGGTTTCTGGGTGTTACCCCTTAGGTTAGTGTTGGAACCAAGCCTAATTAGGTGTTTTAGGGGATGTCCAGAAGTGTTAAGGTTTATTGTAAGCCATTAGGTCACCTCTAAGACGTCTATACTGTAATGAGTAGAGGTTAAGTGATTTGGTGCATATCCTCGTCATTTCCTTGGGAGACCTACAGACTCGGGTCCTCTCATAGCTTATTCTAACCACCATGGGTTGTCACACCAACTGATGGATGGACACGCGTTACACATCCTAACCGTACCTGCGTCTTATCTTATAGCTTCTAATTCAAATGCCATATGACAAGCAAGCAATGCCCCTACCCGCACTTATGGAACACTAGTAACTAAAATGCACCCCGTATGGTACCTTACACTGGTTTACGCACTCGCTTAGCTCTTTAGTGAAAATCCCATGAGCCCCCCTACCTCCATCAAAACAAATAAGTCTGTATTTGCAGCATATAGCAATTTTATTATTCAAAAGTAAGGTATAACAGTTAGAATTGGAGTAAAATGGCAGTATACAACAGATGCAAGTGGTACATGTCTTCATCGATTAACTGAAATAGAGAATATGGATATTAGATTAACAGCCTTATTTAGAAAGACTAGTGTCTAATTTGAACTTACTGCTTGAGAAAGTTATACTGGAACTACGAATGTTTCTCGGGGCGTACGAAGCACTCAGACTGTAAGACAGTTGTCCAAAATAAATTCGAATATGGAGGTGAAAATTTGCAGGTACTTTTCATCGTAAGGGTGAACATATTAGGTACCAGTTGACATCATACCGTAAGAAAACGCATATTTGCGAGTGGTGAAACACGATCTATAAAAAAGTGAGCTTAATAACAGTTAATTACCTTTTAACTCCCTGATCATGACCCTTCGGTTACCGTTTATGGCCAAAACAGCAAACATACACTAGACACTGGTAGCAGATTTCCGGCTTTTCAATGTTAAGCTTGCTTTAACGCACTGAGTAGTGAGTACAACCCCTCTATTACTGTTATATGGCATATTTTTTCATAACAAACCCTCTGCAATAGATTGGTAGCATCTGTGACTTCATCTATAGTTGTCGGAAGTCTGGGTCCTTTCGAAATCAGTACCGATATACCCTACTGCTGGGCACTCTGTATTAGTTTGACTCGTTGGTGGAAGTGTTGTCCATAATACTGAAGAAAATTAAAAAACGCAGATTGTTTCCTTTCATTTTGCCGATAACATCATAAAGGATAGTTAGGAACGAACATGCGAACAGTTAGAGTCACAGGCGGCAGCAACAATTATTTTAGCTAAATAAAAACGAACTTCGACTTCGGATATCTAGAAAACAAGATAAAACATAACCGATTGTCGTTTGAAAACGTAAGGTCTTATGTTAGTACTAGCCAGCTTAGCTGAATAAATACAGTGACTTCATTAGCAGCAGATAAAACCCAGAAAACAAAGCAAAATCAGGAAAAACTTTGCTCCAACGTTCAGAGTATTACACTAACTTTTGAATTTTAGCACACTGAAACATCAAATTCCGTAGCTACACAAAAGAAATAGCTGAAAGAAGCACAGAACGAAGAAAGCCGACCGCCATTGCTTACGAAGATGGCGGATGTAATAATTCCCGCCTCATTCTGATTGGTTGCTAAGCTGGAGGGCACATTTACGAAATTGAGTTGCGTTTAATTGCAGCCCACATAAAGTCTGTGCTCGTTCACTGTCAATCTAAGCTGATTTCCGATTGCATTTGCATTAGTAGGCTAACTGAAAGAAAATAAAATCACCATGGAGAAGAACTCCAACCAGTTTTCCAGTTAGCTTGATACGGTTTATTCAGTTACGAGGAGATTTTCTCGACCTCATTTTTACCTGACCGTGATAGAATTCAGTAATACTACCAATACATATGAATGGTTATCAAAAAGTGTTTTAGTATGTGAATAGTGACAAGTATGTGAAATTCGGACGAGTAGCTAACAGCAATTAGTTAAACATCAGTGTATTCGTAAAATACATGCTCGAGACTCAATGTCTTGATTTGCCATAGACTATTTATTTATATATATACCTACAGTCTTCAATGTTATTATACGCTGACGATGTAAAAATCTGACGAGTAATAACGGGAGACACAGATGCATGCGCACTTCAGGCATACTTAAATAATGTGACTAACTGGTCTAAAGAGAGGCTGATGCCTATCAACGCAGCAAAGTGTGTCTACATCCGATTTGGGGATACAAAGGTTGATAGGTACAGAATAGAGGAAGTGCCTGTACCCATAGTCCAGTCTCATAAGGATCTTGGGGTGATAGTGAGTCATGATCTCAAGACGACGGCTCGTTGCACGGAGGTCTCAGCTAAGGGGTTTAGAACTCCTTGGGCTTTAAGACGAACATTCACTAAGTTAAATACTACCGTGTTCACTACAGTATACAAAACCTTAGTGAGAATTAAGCTTGAGAACTGCGTTCATGCTGCAAGCCCCTATTTAAAAGGTGACTCGGGTATCCTGGAAAAAGTATAGAGGGCAGCTACTCGTACAATTCCAGAACTCCGGGGTTTACCATACAAAGAACGGCTTGAAAAGCTAGACCCCTTTACTCCGTCCTATCGCAGGCTAAGGGGATATCTAATTTTGATGTATATAATACTAAGAAATGATTTTGGACCTAACGCATTCTATCTTTTGCTTCCCACTAGATCGGGACATCTCAGAGGACATAGCAGGAGAGTAGAAAGGCCACGAATGAACAAAATACACGTGGCATACAAGTTTTCACATCGAGCCATCAGTTTTTGGAACCTGTTACCTGTTACAAGCACTGGTGTCCACACCTTCAATTGACTCATTCAAGAGAAGACTATACACTCACAGTGGCATAATAGAAAAGGAATAACATAGGCCTTAGGCCCTCTGTCCTTACTACACAAATATGAACCTGAAATCTGATATATGAACCGTCATCTCTATGCGAAAGTGATTGGGAAAACTGCTTTGTGTGTTATTCCTGGATGACAACTATTGACTATTTTTTGTCCCTCGGGTTCTTCTGAGCAAAAAATATAATAATGCTTCCTAGTGACAAAAATCTCTCTTTCACATCTCATACAAATACCCCAGCAAACAATCAGGTTCCTTATTTCTGTCCAAAAAATTGAAGATGCAGCTGAAAGAATTGACGTCTGCATCTTCAGTTGATTTATTCGCGAGCTTAAACATGTTAGAATAGAACAAAAACAGGTATTTCATCATCCTTGAGTAACCTGAAGTTAGAATTCATCCAGCGCAGTTTCAAAAGTAACGCTACGTCTACAACAGCATTGTTGGTATTGGCAGTTGGACCATAATTTTCTAGTGTCGATTCCAAGTTTGTTTTAATTTAAGAATTGTGTTGTTTCTGACTGTTCAGTCTTCAGTTGTAGGGATGGGAGGTCTATCGACCTATATTAGTCCTTGCAGTTAATAACACTGTGGAGGTCTTCAAGCTGACTTAGACGATTTAGTTAGATGGGCTCGAGAGTGGGGCTTAGAAATCAATGTTAGGAAAAGTGTACTAATGCACATCGGTCACGGTAATAGTTACCGTAACACTATTGAGAGTAAACCTCTTCCATGCGTTCAAGAGCATAAGGACTTAGGAGTAATATTAAGTCATGATTTAAAAACAACTACGCATTGCAAAGCAGCCGCTGTCAAAGGTTTCCGTGCGTTATGGTCACTTCGCCGAGCGTTCAAATCTTTTGACGAGGGAACGTTTCGAATTTTATATCCCATATATGTTAGACCACATTTAAAGTACTGTATCCAAGCAGCTAGCCCATGTCTGGTAAAGGATACTAACTCCCTTGAGCGTGTCCAGCGTGTGGGAACGGAATTAGTAAAGGGTCTTTCTAGACTCCCTTATGATGAGCGTTTAAAACGCCCAAATTTTCTCCCCTTGTCGTATCGTAGGACACGAGGTGACCTTATACTGGCATTTCGTATCTTTAATTATGATTTGGGTGTTAATATGTCTAATCTTTTTGCTCCCTCCAGCACTAATAATCTCCGCGGTCATAGCAAGAAGGTTCGTAAACCACGATCTAATAAACTTAAAGTGGTGTCCCGTTTTTCTCATCGAGTAGTCAATGATTGGAACGCCTTACCCGAACAAGTGGTATCAGCCTCATCAGTGATTTTGAGATCACTGCTTGAAATCGCTGACTGTTCTCGATTGGTTTCGTTATTAGGTGTGAATGCATTATATATGCTTACTGGGTCGTTGAATCACCTCTTGTTCTTCACTATTCCAGTCTTTGCTTACGTTACTCTGTATGCTCCCCTAGTACACAAAGTACTTTCTAGCTGGATGTAAACCATCACGTAGGCAGTGGGGTTTTCTCTTAGATTCAAAGAAGAGTTACTGCATTCAATGACATCCCAGTCTCTAGATTTTAGTGAAATTTAGGGGTTTTCATGCAATTTCCCCAAAGTTTTCTGTTGTTGCTTCCCCGAAATCAGGATATTGGGACGTTTCAACTCGCACAGATTATTCTTTGACAATGGAACCCTTCCGAAGCGGCTTAATACTTACAGTTGTGTGTTCTGGACACCTAGGCATCAGGGTTACGATCGAAATAAACTCCCATGCTTCTCTTTTAAGAGCAGTCCTAAGACAGTATTCTTTGACACTTCTCACAGATATGTATTCCTTGCCCCTTTTAACGCAGAACAGATGTTCGATTATTTATCAGATGAGCTTATCACCTTCCAGTTTATTCTGTTTTGATACGTGACCGTGAAATATATTATTATTATTAATGGCTTTATTCAATATTATATTTTGGTACAAAGTAGAAATCTGTCGAAGGCCAGAAACATTCACATTCTACTGTTGTTCGACCGAATATTAAGTCCCTGGTTATTGTTCAGGTTCAGATTTGTGTAGTAAGGACAGAGGGCCTAAGACCTATGTTATTCCTTTTCTATTATGCCACTGTGAGTGTATAGTCTTCTCTTGAATGAGTCAATTGAAGATGTGGACACCAGTGCTTCGGGTAACAGGTTCCAAAAACTGATGGCTCGATGTGAAAACTTGTATGCCACGTGTATTTTGTTCATTCGTGGCCTTTCTACTCTCCTGCTATGTCCTCTGAGATGTCCCGATCTAGTGGGAAGCAAAAGATAGAATGCGTTAGGTCCAAAATCATTTCTTAGTATTATATACATCAAAATTAGATATCCCCTTAGCCTGCGATAGGACGGAGTAAAGGGGTCTAGCTTTTCAAGCCGTTCTTTGTATGGTAAACCCCGGAGTTCTGGAATTGTACGAGTAGCTGCCCTCTATACTTTTTCCAGGATACCCGAGTCACCTTTTAAATAGGGGCTTGCAGCATGAACGCAGTTCTCAAGCTTAATTCTCACTAAGGTTTTGTATACTGTAGTGAACACGGTAGTATTTAACTTAGTGAATGTTCGTCTTAAAGCCCAAGGAGTTCTAAACCCCTTAGCTGAGACCTCCGTGCAACGAGCCGTCGTCTTGAGATCATGACTCACTATCACCCCAAGATCCTTATGAGACTGGACTATGGGTACAGGCACTTCCTCTATTCTGTACCTATCAACCTTTGTATCCCCAAATCGGATGTAGACACACTTTGCTGCGTTGATAGGCATCAGCCTCTCTTTAGACCAGTTAGTCACATTATTTAAGTATGCCTGAAGTGCGCATGCATCTGTGTCTCCCGTTATTACTCGTCAGATTTTTACATCGTCAGCGTATAATAACATTGGGGACTGTACTATACTTGGGAGATCAATTATATACTCTATTGAAAGTAAAGGACCTAGGACAGAACCTTGAGGTACTCCACTAAGTACGGGTCTTCAGGTGGAGCACTTGGAGTTTACTCTTACTTTCTGTATACGACCTACTAGGAAATCTTTAGGCCGTTTTAAAAGAGGTCCGGCAATACCAAGATATTCTAACTTTAATAGCGGTCTATTTGTTGGCACGTTGTTAAATGCCTTACTAAAGTCTATGTAGACAACATCCACTGGTTTCCCATTGCCTAGTGCCTTTATCCATTGCTCCCTTGCTATAATGAGATTTGTTGTGCAAGATAACCCTTTTTGAAACCATGTTGTGTGCTGTTTAACAAGTTGGCTTCCACAAATGTCATTATGGTCTTTTTGACTATTCTTTCCCGTATCTTAACTACGACATTGGTGAGGCTGACAGGTCTGTAGTTCGATGGACGTTGTCCTGTTTTGTGTATTGGAGTGACGATTGCATCCTTTCAGTCCACAGGTAACACACCGTGGCCAATTGACATACTTAATATCACAGTTAGTGGGGCTACGATATATTGTTCAGTTTGTTTCAGGATTTTGGGGTATAGTTCATCTGGTCCTTTTGACTTGTCCATGTCCAAGGTACTAAGAGTCTTAAGTACATCGTCCACGGTGAGCAGACGGTTTTTGACTTTGTATTTGGGTCTGGTCCTTTGTCTAGAAGAAGTTCCTGAGTGAAAACTGCCTCAAAATAGTTAGCCATAGCCTCCGCGTTTTCCCGATCATCCTCCATTATTTCAGATTCACTCCCTTCTTTCATCAGGCTGGGAATCCAATGGTGCATCCTTGTTCTGTAATTTATGTACGAGAATAATCTCTTAGGCTACTTGATTGCAGATTATGCTAAATGCATTTCATATTTTCTCTTGGCTTCCGGAATTTTAATTATACACTTATTTCGTATCGACCTGTAGAGTTCCATCGTATTTGCAGCGTTCAAGGCTGATGACAACGCTCCAACATTTCTTCTTTTATCTTAGTAAACGTCAAATATCCCGGCCTATCCAGGGATGGCCGTGCTTCTTTTTCTTCTTTGGGACTATCCAGGGTGTGTATGGTTGAGTTACCCGGTTGTATGTCTGCCTTTTCTACTGGTGCCCCCCTTGTAAAGCATCCAAGTGTCAGCCGACACTGCAGAGTTTATGCCCTCTATGTTCTCACTGGTAATCACATGAGCACCACTCACTTAATTATTTTGTTGAAACCTATTTAGCAAAAGTCATCTTGCTGCACCACATCATCTAATGTTGCGACATATAAGCTTAGTTGATCCCTACAACTTATAATCACTATATCTCAATTAAATCGTTTCCCGTCTTATACTAAACTGCATACTTGCAGCTGACTTGTATGCACCATCAGCCGGTAGGTATATATATAAATAAATAGTCTATGGCAAATCAAGACATTGAGTCTCGAGCATGTATTTTACGAATACACTGATGTTTAACTAATTGCTGTTAGCTACTCGTCCGAATTTCACATACTTGTCACTATTCACATACTAAAACACTTTTTGATAACCATTCATATGTATTGGTAGTATTACTGAATTCTATCACGGTCAGGTAAAAATGAGGTCGAGAAAATCTCCTCGTAACTGAATAAACCGTATCATTTTATTACTGTGCACTTTTATATCCTAGATGGTTTTGAGTATCCATGGTCATTGGCGTGGTAGCTCAACTTCTGAACTGATAGTTGTTTGCTGCTAGTGTTCATGAGTTTATGACTTTCAGGTTGTGTTATCGACCTACTATGTTGTAGCAGTTCGGTCGTAAAGATGGTGAAGGGCATACCTACTTTTAAAAATGATCGCAATTTTCTCTTTCCGAGGTCGAAATCCAGAGTGAAATGATTTTGTTCACAACTTTACTGAGGCTGTTGATGTTTTAAGCGCAAAATGGAATTCAACTGTTTGTTTTCGAAAATTGCACTTAAAATGGAGCCAAGGTCTAGGACTTTTTTCCAGACTAAAACTAGGCTTCAGCTTATTTGTCAGTTGCATAAATTAAGCGAAATCCGGATTCGTTTATACCGGTGAAAGGGGTCACTGGTCATTTGCCACTTTATTTCCTTGATAACCAACCTCAAGAAACGGTCTAATTTGACCACCGAGGTTCTTTTCCTGCTGTCATGTTGACCTTGCTTTTTTTACACAGAGGTCGATGTAGTCTGTTTTGATATTCATTCTGGGAAGGTCTTTGTTATGTGCTTGGGACAATTAACTGTTTGTGTAGATTTTTTTCCCGGCCCAATTCACTTATCTGTCCTAATTTTAGTGAGGATTGACATTTTCCCTCGTTTATACCGTCTTTAATTTTGGAAAAGTTTCTTCATATCAATCTCATTTTGGAGAGCGAATATTTATTTATTATAAAATATGTATAGTTATCTGATAAAAGTTATATCTCTTGTAATCTTTCGTTAGGCTAGCCATGTATTTCTTCAGTCAAAGCTACATTACCTAGCAAGAAATTATTTAGCAGTTGATATATAGTTTATTGGCTAGTAAAGGATTTTTTTAATGATCTCTTAATATCATTAATGTAATGCTTTGTGTCAGATCTAATCATTGTATATGTAATCTGGTTCACAACCCCACAAGGTAATAAGGAGTTAATGCAGCCCAGTTTTATTTTGCATGGGGTCACGTGTTTAAACTGGCGAGTCAAAGACCCAGCAAGATCTCTTCATATTTGTTTAAATTCTGTGATTAGTGCAGATTACCTTAGTTTTATACCAGATTTTATTAAGTGGATTTCCTACTTCTTATTCAGAGTTTAGTAATTCAAACACCATAATGGTTGTCGAATCAGACGACTCTGGTTTTCGCCAACTGGAATACTTCTCTTTAGTTTCAAAAGTTTGCACAGAATTAACAAATCATTTGGGTTTAGATGACAAAGTCCTGGGTAAGTTGATTGTTTGGATTTTTTGATCATATCGACTATTTCACAGCTGAATTTGTTATTCATTTGGCTAAGAAAAATCCGACTTTTGAAAAATTCAAAAGTGCTTTGGAAAAGAAAGGCGCAGAGTTTACGGTAAGGGCATTTATTAGATTACCTTTGATATTTGTTTTCTTGTCCACAGGACCCATTAATAGCCAGTATTTTACGCCTAGTTGAGAAAATGCTTCCAAAGAAGGAGAAAGTTACTAAAAAGAAGGCATTAACATCTTCATCTAACAAGAAAGATTCTGAGTTAGATGTTGTCAAAAACAAACTAGAATTGAGAAAGCGACTTTTACCTGCTTTGTGTATGCCAAATGAAGATCCAAACGACGAGGTATTCTGTTTTCTCACTGTCATTAATGTCTTGTTTATTTTCCATCCAGCGATTGAATGTGGAATCTGAAAATGTAGAACCGTGCAGTGATACTAATAAAAAGGATGGGATTCGTAACAAATTCGTTCATCCTGATGAACTTGAAGAGGAATTCCATAGTGATAATATCAATAATAAAAAAGATTGTGTAGATGACGTCGAAGCTTTGGCTATGATTAAAGACTTGGAATTATTGTTATCCGGTGCTAAAGAGTAAATTTTCATGTTTATAAAAATATTTTCTTAGAGCATCATTATCTAAGTCAAAGCCACGTGACGAAAAGAAAAGTGAAGATAGACGGTTAGTAGTTTCCTTATTTGCTTGTTTGAATCTAGTTGTATGTTATATTTTCCCATTGATATTTGACATTTT